AGAAAAAAAGAAATTAACCTAAGCATATTCACTTTACATATATTTTAAAGACATCTGATTATACAGAGGAGTTGCCTGCACTAGCAGGAGCTCACCAACAGCTTCACTGTTATCTAGAATAGATGGAGGTCAGTTATCTTCATCATATGAGGGAATAGGGACGAAGCCTTTAGGATGATTCAGTGAGTCCCACAAAGCTTTTTCTGCTCCAAGAATTCTATTTGTCATTTGAGGTCCTCAGGTGTCTTCTTTTGTTGGTAGCATCTCATCTTCATGTCTTCATATTTCCATCCTCTCTTCCTCGCTCCTGAACATTCTGTACAACTTATTTTCTCAGTATGCAAAAGTCTGCTTCACAGGGAAGCCAGAAGACAATGTGGCTATCTCAGCCCTACTCCTGAGCCGTCAGTGGCTGGTGCCCCAAAGCAGAGGCTAAACTCTCAGCAGGATAATCAAAGTCACAGCCTTACCTGTTAGCCTTGTTTCCCACTATCCTCCCTGTTGGCCCTGCTCTAATGTCACCGTCTGCAGGAGTTGTTCCCACATCTCTCCTCTCTGTTCCAAAAAGCCTGGGCCTCTTTGTTACCAATTCATATCTTACCTCCTCTATCAGATCACAAGCTTCCTGAGGGTAGACAAGCCCGTGTCTTATTCCCCTCTCTATCTCCAGTTGTGCCTAGCATGACAGGAACATAAACTGTCACCATACTCTTCAAGCCCTCTGAATCTTTCCCTACGTTGTCCAGGCTGGCCTCAAACTACTGATCCTCCTGCCTCACTCAGCCTCCTGAGCTGCTGAGATTATACGTGTGAGCCACTGCAACTGACTGAATCACTAATTTAGAATCTCCAGTTTCCAGTGGCTTGGGAGGCTGAGGCAGGAAGATCGAAAGTTCAAAGCCAGACTAGGCAAAAGCAAGGCACTAAGCAACTCAGTGAGACTCTGTCTCTAAATAAAATACAAAATAGGATGTGACTCAGTTGTCCAGTGCCCTTGAGTTCAATCCCCGGTACCAAAAAAAAAAAAAAAAAAGCATCTCCAGTTTCAAGGTCTGATAAAAGACTGAGAGTCTTTCAGTCCTACTCCAAATTTTATAGACCAGGAAACCAAGTTCCAGAAGGACCAAGTGGTGAACTCTAAGGTCACACAGTTATCTGATGATAAAACCTGAAGTGGATCCCCTCATTTCCAGTGGAACATAGTTCTTTTTTCCTATGCTCCATTAATCTGTCAGTTAAAAAAAAAAAATTTTTTATTGACAACATGTCAATTTTTTAAAATAAAAAAGTAATCTATTTGTACACCCAACTACCACCTCAGGGCTTAACACATTGTAGGTAGTCAAATAGTTTATGAATATTGCTGAATAAAATGATGAATACCCAGGCCTCTAGATAACTAAAATAAGCAGAATATTAAAATATTTCAAAATACTAGCCAGACAACTGGTGGAATAAGCAGCCTGAAGGAGAAAGCAGAAAACCCCACAAAATAACAAAGGGCTGAGAAAGAACATAATCTACTGACCAGACCCTACATTTACTCACATGCGAGATTTTGGTGATGTAAAATCAAACACAAAAGAGAATCAAGTCCTTAAGACACTTTCCTAAAGAAGAGGCATACAGTAGTCTCTCCCCTTATTTGCAGGGATTCCTCCCAAGATCCAGCAGATGTATTAAACCGTGGATTGCACCAAACCTCACATACAGTATTTTACCCCACACATACGTAATACTAATTATAGCATGTTAGATTTATAAATTAGGCATAGTAAGAGATTAGCAATAACTAATAAAACAGAACAATTATAAAAATATAACAAAAGCTATGTGAATGTGCTTCTCTTTCAAAATATCTGTTCCTTGTGGCATCACAGTAACATTTTCAGACCGTGGATGACCACAGGTACATGACACTGAGGAAAGCAACCTGCAGGTGAGGATGGGGTCAACTGCGAAAGGCCAACAGGCTTGAGAAATGATGTAGAGGGTTATTAGTTATCAGGGAAAGGCAAATCCAAAGCACAACAAGAGTCCTCTGCACGCCCACTAGGATGGCCAGAATTAAAACAGCAACAAACAGAAAGTAATGAGTGTCCATGAGGAGGATGTGGAGAAACTGGAACCTCCTTCACTGCTGGGGGAAAGATAAAGCGGTTAAAAGCTGCCCTGAGAGCTCGGCAGTTCCTCAACAAGTTAGGCACAATGATGTCTGACCCAGGACTTCGACTCAGGAATAGACCCGAAAGACCAAAAAGAGGTGTTACAATGAAAATGTGCACAGGACTGTTGACAGCAGTACTGCTCACAGTAGCGAAGGGTGGAAACAACCCAATGTCCATCAACTGATGAATAAACAAAATGCTACAGATACATACAGTGTAAAAAGATGCAACCGTAAAAAGGAACCAAGAACTGATATGTGCTACATCAGGGATGAATCCTGCCAACAGCACCCCAAATGAAGAAATCAGAGAGGCAAGGCCACAGATTTTAAGATTCCATTTATATATGTGTCCAGAACTGGCAAATTCACAGAAGCAGAAAGCAAATTAGTGGTTGCCAGGGGCTGGGGCAGTGAGGGAATGGGGAGTGACTGCTTTAATGCATATGCATTTCCTTCCCAGGTGATGAAAAAGTGCTGGAACTAGACAGGTGTGATGACTGCATAACACTGCAAATGTACTTACTGACACCGCTCTGTGCACTTTAAAATGGCAAATCCGATGTTATATCTTTTATTACAATAAGAATGAGAATCAAGTCTTCACAGTGTCAAGAGGCCTTGGGAATATCTAGTATGAAGATCTGCATTTGTGCACAGCTAACAGATCCCTTTCAAATAAGGCAGGATGTTATGGCCTGCACATTTCTCTGCCACCCATCCTGACCGCACAGAATTTATTAAAATACTCTTAAATTTCAAGATTAATGTTGTAACTTTAGAAGGGGGATGCAGGCATCAGTGACAGATACAGCTTAACAGACAGGCTATTATCAGCGATGCCACTATATTGACACCACAGGCACAGGGGCAGTCTCATTGTGACCCCAGGCTTTCCTGCAGTTCAGAGGGGAATGCGGCTATCTATCAAGGACAGAGCCAAGCCTGTCCTCCTAAGGCACATGGGCAGAGAGGAAGCCACCAGAAAGGGCAATGGAAACTGCAACAAAACCCTGCCCTTCACCATCAAAGCAAAGAGCTCAAGTTCAGGATGCTCCTAGGATTCCCCTGGCACCTACAGGACGGCCTCTATGTCACTGGCGGCTGTCCCACAACAACACAGATAAGAGGCACTTGAACTTTTTTTTTCCCCAGAGGATTCCCTGTGCTTAGCTCTACCCCACCCAAGCCTTTCACTTCTACCCCCTCAGGCTCCAAGGCCCCACTCCACCTCCTGTAGTTATCTGAGCTGATCTTCAGAATGAACACAGGGTGCCAGCTATAGGCTCCTTAGGTGTCTGAGAACTTTGGAACCAGGGCCAGGTGTCTCTTCAGAAGACTTAACTTGATCTGTTATCTAGAAATGTTTTTATGTCCAATGACAGGGCTCAGCAGGGTGGGAATAGATTAATGAACATGCAACCCCCCACTTAAACAGGCAAATAAACACTTTCTGCAACAAAGGAACTGCCAAGTCACACACATTCAGAATTTCTTAAAAGCATTACTCCTCTTTCTAGCTTCCTCTCATTTGTCACTCTTTAAATTTCTGATGTGTAATAATGAAGAAAAGGTGTTCTTTTTAAATCACCAGCATCCAAAACTTTCAAAGAGAAGCTTATTTGAAGTGGCCAAGAAATATATCCAGTCGCTTAAAAATGGCTATTACGTCTGTGCAAGAAAATATACAAGATTCCATACACACACTGTCAAGTTTGGCAAGAAAGATTTTAGACAACTTCTATCCTTCCCACCCAATCCCAAGTAAATAGAGCATTTGTTTATATTTCCACATTGGCTGCATGAACGAAAATACCTCCTCCACCTAGAAAAACAATCTGTAACAGTCAGACATGGAACTTTGAGGGCAAAGTTTTAGTGCAGATGAGAGCATTAGGTATACAGTGCTTAAAAAAAAATAGTCAAAAAATATTTTTCACAAAGGTTTCTCCTGTGAACATTTTCCGTAAGATGACACAGGCTTGGTTTGGTGTTTTTTTCTACCTTTCAGAAATAAAGTTTGAAAAACTTTGTTCTCCATTAAAATTGGAGCCCGGAGGAATCTTCTCCCGAAGGTCTCCAGCAAAATACTTCATCGTTCTATTCTTGGGGGAGACACACAAAATCACTTGCCTTTAACTCGCTTCAGGTTTTGCGCTTTGCACCAACTAGGTGTGGGCAAAGAGTTAAAAGTTTTCTGAGGTTAGTTCCTGCGGTTAAGGGGAGGGGGGAGCTGGATGCTTAAATTTAGACTCGGTAAAACAATACTGGGAAACTTTCACAGCCTTGGGGCCACGCTGGAGTTCATTTTATTGCCTTTTGTTCATCAGCCACATTTTCTTCTCTTAATCCCTCCCGCCCGGGTTCCCGGGGCAGATCCTACACATTACCGCGTGATTCGGTTACCTGCTGGGGGCCGGGGGGACGGAAACCTACTGACTGTTTCGCGCAGGAACTCGGCTGAACAGGTGGCTCCGGCCGCCGCCGCCGGGTCGCACCGCGCTGCCGCCTCGCAGCGCGCGGACCCGGGTCCCGGGGGCAGCCGGCGCCCCTCATTCGCAGGCTCGGGGAGGGCGGCGCAGGCTGGGGACGCTCCGCGCAAAGGCGACGAGGTGCCACCGACCACCGCGCCCCGCAGGCGGCCCCGGGGCGGGGGAACCGCACGACTCCCCCCAGGCGCGCCCAGCTTCCCGGAGACAGCGACCCGCCCAGGAGACCCGCACGGCCCCGACCGCACTCGCTGCCCGCCATCCCGGGCGCCCGGGAGGGGACACCGCGGCCGGGCGCCTCCTGCCGCGCGGAACCTGTCCCGGGTCCGAGGTGTGGCACTCACCTGGCGGGAGTCCCCTCCGCGGGGACGGCAGGTGCCCACGCGTACCGCGACCCCGAGCCCCGCGCAGCCCGCCAGCCAACACGCCCGCGCACCTAGCCAACCGTCCAGTCGCCGCGCCGCGCCGCGGGCGCTCCCGTCCCCGCCCCGCCGCGCCGCGCGCTCCCGCGCGGGGAAGCCGGTCCCCCGACACAGGCTGCGCGCGCCCGCGGCATTTAAAGAGACAGGCCCGGTGCGTAGCCGCCCTGTGGCCGCCTCTCAGGGGTCTTCCTTCTAGCAGTGAGGTTTGAATTGGGGACAATTAGAGGGAAAGTCACCAACTCCCATCTTGGAGTTATCCACGCGGATTTGTGTTTGAAACTGTGAATGAGAAGGAACTTCTTCCTCCCCAACCACCCGCCCATCAGCAGCCTTGAGAACTTATTTTTATTTAATAACAATAACTACAATTTATTGAATATTTATACCCTAGGAAAAGGCATATATAACATTCATACATAATTTCACTTAAGTCTTAAAACTGTGGGTTTTAAAAAGATCATTTCTTTCTTTTTTTTTTTAATTGACACATTAAATTGTACACATATGTGGGGTGTCCTTGTGATGTTGTGACACATGTACATTGTGTAGTGTTCAGATCAGGCTAAGCATACGTAAATCTCTTTAAAATGTCTGTCATTTCTTTTTGCTGCAAACATTCAACATTCTTTCTTATAGCTCTTCTGTAATTGTTGTATTTTTATTGAGGTTCAGAGGACTGAAGAAACTCCCCCAAGATATTTCTTTTTCCCCTCTCTTTTTAGATACACATGACTGTAGAGTTCCTCCAAGAGTTTTCGACCCCACTGCTTCTTGCTGTTTTCTTCTTCCTCCATTATTGGAAACATCTACTGAGGTTAATAGCAGGTTGTGGAAGGCTTTCCAGTGGAAGTTAATGTTACCAGTGTTTCCATAGATGGAATAACTTGCTGGGGGCAAAGAGAGCAAGAGTTACCGGATTATCGATTGTAGGCTTTGCAGTATACTTGTGGCAAACAGTGTAACAACCTTGATTCCAAAAATGCTTGTGTTTATCCCCTTTTCACAGAAAGCAAGAAAGGAAGTGACTGGCTACCCAGAAGACTGAGTCACTGGTAGCACTCAGGGCTGAGCCCCAATTCCTTACTCCTTAGATCATTTCTTTGCCCTCTCCAGGAAGAGATACCTGATTAAAGGGAAGAAAACTTATTCTCTAATAACATATTGGCCACACCTAACTCCCTGCATCTTTAATTAATGTTTACAAAGCACTTTACCCCACATGCTAGTTAATTAGGTATTATTATCCCCCTCTTTCTGAACCAAATCCAGGAGAGAATCAATTCCAACAGTCCCTAATCCTTGCTGAATACTAGACCTAAGCTTTCTGTTTATGTTTTTCCCCCTCTTCAATTTTTGACGCGTGTTGTGTTAAGTCTGGAAGCATTTCTGATGAAGTGACTTATTAAAGTGTATATAACATACAACATCTAGGGATGAGAGGTAATATGGGTTACATTTGTATTCAAGGAATTCAGGATTAAAAAAAAGAGGCATTTTGATACGTGCATTTTTACTATCATTCTTCTTGTTTGATTAACCTTTTATGGTGTGTCTTTTTTTGTAGGTGCAGAAGAAGTAAGAAGGAAGAAGCTGAAGGATGATGAGATTAGGATGGATGAAGGAGAAAATAAAAAGGAAAACACACACACACACACACAAAAGTGGCAGGAAATGAATAGGGAAGAAAATGAGTCTGAGAAGAAAGTTTCAATCAAAAGGCATTAGGGGAAATGAGGCCACCCCTGGTAGCCCACATCAAATCTTTGTGGGAATTACAATCAGGTGGCCTTTCCTCAGAGCTGGTACAGGCAGAGCCAGGGCCCCAGCTTAACTGCTATGCATAGGCTGGCTGCTGGTCCCTGTGCATCCCCTGGGAAGCCATCTGTGTGCCAACTGAACACACATCTCCAGGGACTACAAGGTGAGAAAGGACACGTGACATAAGAAGAAAATAAAGGTTTAGAGGGGAATTTAAAGACAGTTATTCATGAAAGTACATCCAGGAAGAAAAAAAGGAAAAGAGAAACCTCTGGAGGGTCTTGTATATGGTATTATTAGTGCCTTAAAACTCATAATGTAATCACAGTAATACAAATTGTCACTCCAAATTCACTTGACATTTTTTCTGGTGCTGGGGATAGAACCCAAGGCCTGAAGCATGCTAGGTATGTGCTCTACCCCTGAGCTACACACCCAGCCTCTTGACTTGTAAATAAATGTCTTCTGAAGTTGGTCTTTGCTAAGAAAATACTGATGATACAGACTAGTTTGGATCTGGAGTGTGTCCCAAATGCACATGTGTTAAAGATTTGGTCCCAGGCTGTGATGCTATTAGGAGATGGAGGGACCTTTAAGAGGCGGGTCTTATAGAAGTTAGGTCATAGGGGGTGTGTCCTTGAAGGGGATTGGATGCCACCTCTTCTTACCTGCTTTCTTTGTTTTCCAGCTGTTATGTGCTCCCACCATGATGCATTGTCTTACCACAAGCCCAAAAGCAATTGGACCAACCAACCCTGGACTGCAACCTCCATAACTGTGAGCCAAAATCAACCTTTTCCCTTATTAAGTGGATTATCTCAGGTATTTTGGTACTGTCATGGAAAGCTGACAAACACAATATGTGAGCCCCCAATATTAAACAATTATTCTTTTGAACTTTGTATAAGTTAAAAATTTTAAAGTAAACTGAAAACTTCAGGTAAACATGTTTTCACTTTATAAGGTAGTAGAGTCACGTGCCACATCAATGTATCCGTCAATAATGGAACACATAGACGACAGGGGTCTCATAAGATTGTATGGACCAGTAAAGACATAGACACTCTAGTTTGTGTAAGTATGCTCAATGATGTGCCCACAGTGACAAAATCGCTTAATAACTCATCTCTAAGGATGTACCCTGTTGTTAAGTGGCAATTCTCATTTAGCAGTGGGCGACTGTAATAATTACTGTATAAAATTGACTTCAGAAGCTGCAGTTTCTGTGATGGCCATTATAGGGTTGCAAACAGGACAGGGAAAGTGGCTAGAAAGTAAATTTCATGAAAAAAAATTTACTAACAATTTATAGCATTTAGAGCTAAAGCAGGGGAGATGTAAAATTCATAATTTTGATTTCTGCTTTTTCTGCTTGGCAGAGATGTTACCTTAAGATATTTATCCTTTTTGAGTTTCAGTTCCTCACCTATATAATAAGGCTATCAACACTCTGTGAGGTTAAAGTGAAATTCCTTTAAAATTTACCTGAACAAATAATAGCTGAGAAGAGTTAAGAAAATAAGGAAAATATGGGAATTTGCCCTATTTATTATTAAAACATAGTATAAGGCTATACTGATGAAAATTAAGTTAGGAGAACAATATTTAATCCAGAAAATGGGTTGTATACTTTAAGATATGATAGAGGAGTTGTTAAAAATAAATGAAAAGGGGACGGACTGTCAATAAGTGAGGTTTAGAAAACCAGCAATTTGAAAGAATAATCATCTTACCTTTCCTCATGTGCTGGAAGAAATTCCAACTACATTAGAAGATTTTAAACTAGGAGAGCTGGGTGCCAGGTGCATACCTGTGATCCCGGCTGCTCTGGAGGCTGAGGCAGGAGGACCATAAGTTTTAGGTCAGCTCGAGCAACTTAGCAGGACCCTGTTTCAAAATAAAATAATGAAACAAAAAGAGGGCTGGGGACGTAGCTCAGAGGTAGAGTGCTCCTGGTACTCCTTCCCCTCCTACCCCCCCTCCCCACAACACACTGGGAGAAAATTTAGGTAAATATTTATGTGATCTCAAATGGCAGAAGAAATGGAAAAATGAGATTAGGTTACACAAGCATCTAGGATTATGACAACTAAATTATGATCTTGATTATTTTTTGTGGCTGTTTCCAAGTTGCAGTATCTTTGATAATTCTTTGATAATTCTTGACAATTCTTTGAGAAGTTTAAAATACTTTATTTCTTTTTCTTTTCTTTATTTTTTGTTTATTCATTTTTTGCCTAACCTTGTCTGCACTAAGATTAACCTCTGTAATCAATCAGCCATATCAGGATTCCCACTTTCTATTTTGATGTCTTCTGTCATACTCCTATCACTCTCAACCCAGCACATCTTGACAAATTCACTTCATTAATCAATAAAAATTTCCCATCCTTCTTGTATTCATTAACACCCATGATTTTATTAAGAGGAAAGTATGTACAGGCAACATTAAACACGTTACATGTAGTCTTTGTTCATTTGTGCTGCTATAACAAAATACCTGAGAACAGGTAATTTATAACAAACATAAATGTATTTCCTCACAGATCTGGAGGCTGAAATGTCCAAGCTCAAGGTACTGGCATCTGGCGAGGCCTTCTTCTTTTTAATACTTTATTTCAATTTCTAAATTGGTCAATAGGATTAAAATAAACAAACCCTTCCTACAAAGAATCACAACAGGAAAAGAAAGGGGAAATCGCACGAAATGCTCCCATTCACTGTGAGGAATAAAATGTTAAGTGGGATTTTCCTGTTGGCCTAAAGTTACTACAGAGGACCAAACCTAAGATTCAGTGCTCAGTAGTTATCATCTCTTTCATTCCAAGTTCAAGAATTTGCCAGAAGGGCTGGGATTGTAGCTCAGTGTTAGAGAATTTGCACAAGTGCTGGGTTTGATCCCTACATTGCTCCCCCTGGCCCCCCAAAGAAGTCCCCAGGGGCTAACCACATGGCCTCAGGGCTTACCAATTTTAACACATCTGAACTGTGCAGATCATATTTTGTTTACCCATTCATCTGCTGATGGACATTTGGGTTGTTTCCACATTTTGGCTATTGTGAATAATGCTATTATAAACATGGGTGATCAAATATCTGCTCAAGTCCCTGCTTTTGATGGCTTTGGGTCTTTTCCCAGAAGGGGAATTGCTGAATCATATGGTAATTTTCTATTTCACTTTTTGAGGAAGCACCTACATTAGTTGTTCTATCCCGCATTCCCACCAGCAAGGTATGAAGATTCCGACTTTTCCACGTCCTTGATGGCATTTGTTATTTTCCTTTTTTGCAAA